TGCTACCCAATTTAAGAATTCCCTTCAGTATCCCTAACACATTTTCATCCAGGCTCTGCTTGTATACTTTCACTGACAGGGACCTCAACAATTCAATTCAACAAACTATTATTAAGCACTTATTCTGTGGAAGACACTATTCAAGATACTGAAGATACAAAGACAAAAAAAGAAATAGTCTAAGGAGCTTACATTCTAAACCTACCACCTCATGAATCATCCAATTCCATTTTTGGAAAACTTGAATTGTGGGAAAATGCATCCAAACATTGAGCTGAAATCTGAAATGGTGTTTTTTTATAGGCCTCCAATCCTTTTTCTTCCTTAGAATTTTGGCTAGTGTTTGTTCTAGAGAGAAAACCTTCTTGCCGTGTGTGTGTGTGTGTGTGTGTGTGTGTGTGTGTGTGTGTGTGTGTGTGTGTGTGTGTATGATGAGAGAGAGAGAGAGAGAGAGAGAGAGAGAGAGAGAGAGAGAGAGAGAGAAACTGAAGTGCTGTTTAGTGGTTTTCAGTTGTGTCTGACTTTTCATTTGTGGTTTTCTTGGCAAAGATACTGGAGTGGTTTACCATTTTCTTCTCTAACTCATTTTACTTATGAGGCAACTGAGGCAAACAGGATTAAGTGACACATCTAGTAAATGTCTGAGACCAGATCTGAACTCATGAAGATGAGTCTTCCTGACTCCAGGTCTGGCACTCTATCCACTGTGCCACCTATATGCCCTTAAACTAAAGTACCCTTGTGAATAAACTCAGGGCATTAGTGCTTTTATAATTCCTGATATTTATTACAAAGGAAGAACAGGGAAAGAATCAAAATGGGAATATTCCTTAAACCACTGCTGCTACTCAGACTTAATGAGCTCTTTCAAGGTGGTGACTTTGATGTTGTAATAAAACAATATAACATTACATTTAATAGCTACAACTGAGAGCTATAATGTCACATATGCATATTTTATGCCTTCTGATAATTGGGATCAGTATCCATCTTTGGTGCATGCAGTGGAGCCTAAGAGATAAGAAGGGTGCCCACATCAGTCTCGCACTGCAGAAGCGTATTCTATCAATCAATCAATCTCTCATATGTCATTTATCTGTTGAGAGAAATTTCCTGTCAATGGAAGATTACATTAATCATGTGATTTATATTTCTGGTAAGGAGTACAATTTCTAGTCTTGCCTATGGTTTTCTTAAACAAAATATCCCATAAAGAAATTCCTGATGAAAGTTTTCTGTCTGTTGCTGCTCAGTATGGCCTGCCGACAAAGCTATTTGGTGGTTCAGAAAATCCATTTTCTCACCAACTCTGTTTGCTATTATCTAATCTGCTTTCCCCCCACCCCCTTATTTGTTTAAATAACTCACACTTGTCCCCCTGGAAATGGGGAATTTGCTTGCAAAGATTCTGGTATTAATAAAATACTGAGTATAGAAAAAGTCCATGCCATCTTTTGAATGAAGATATTTGAAGTATTCCTTGAAATTCTCACTAGTCCATCAAGAAGATCTTCAAAGATTCAAGCTTTTTATTTTTCTGAAACCAAGTTTCCCTATTTTTCCAAGGCTAGAAATACAGTTGGCCACACATGGGCTCTACTCCAATAGTGATCAGCGTAGAAGCTTTTACCTATTATATATTTTTTTAAACTGAGTCAATTCATCACTCCTTAGGCAGCCTAATACACCCTCTACTCCTAGGGCTTAGCATAAGGGTACTAGATTTAGTGTGGATATACGATTGCCTTTATTTTTATTTATTTATTTATTTTTGTCTAGGCAATGGGGTTAAGTGACTTACCCAGGGTCACACAGCTAGTAAGTGTTATGTGTCTGAGGTCAGATTTGAACTCAGGTCCTCCTGAATCCAGGGCTGGTGCACTATCCACTGTGCCACCTAGCTGCCCCTATATGATTGACTTTAGCCCTACAGAAGCTCAGACCTTCTGAACTCAGGTGATCCATCAACTTCAGCACCCTGGTAGTAGAGTGATCATAGGTGATTATAGGTGTGAGTGACCACACCTGGCTAAAACCCTACCTTTCAATTAACCCAATAATTTTTATTTTCCTTGAGCTCCTCAAGGCTCTGAAATATATTCATGTTTAAAAGCAAGACCAACAATTATGCTGATTGACGATTCTATTTTCTTTTCTGCTTTTGGATTAGAAAATTCTTTTCAACCCCTGTTATACCCTGGTAATTATTCCACGTGCTTTCATCTAGAAGACTCCCCTTAGCAAACTTGAAGAAGGCCAGTGTGGAATTAGAGAAGACTGGGTTTCTTACAACACCCATAACGTCCATGGTTGCCTTCAAATGAACTTGGAACAAGATGGAAGCCAGGTAGAGCAATGACCTCTATTTTTGTTCTTTTGTTTTACTTTGCCACACAACTAGGGTGGCGACAAAATTACTGCTCTACCAATAAAAGAAAAATAGAAGCTATTTTCTTTTATCTTAGGGACAACTGTATTTAATCCCTCCAATTCCCCAACCCTGAAAGCCTAGAGTTCCCCTTTCCATAGAAAGAAGATTCTATTATGTCCAGGAGGTCAATACCCAAATGAGGGTAGTCATCATGGAAAAAAGACTCCCTTTCCCAAGGGACTGAAAACATGTGTCCTGATAATTAATTTAGGCTGATTGTGCACATAAAGTAGAAGAATGTTTTGAGCCAGTTTTAACTTTTTAACCTCTTGAGTTTGTTTTAAGAATCAAAGAATATTTCTTCAAGGTCCTGTCCTCGCCCCCCCCCCTTTTTTTACATTGGGCTCTCAGTGCCATCATTTCTTTTCTAAAAATATGATACATTCATTAATTCAACAAGAATTTATTAAGCATATACAGCTTGCCAGACATTATACTAGCTGCTATAGACACATAGATAAAAAGAAAAGTCATTGCTCACAAAAAGCTTATATCTTACCGAGGTAGGGCAAACAAGTACGTAGATCAGTTGATACAAATAGATATGGATAGAGCAGATAGATAGATAGATACTAAATATAGATTAATATGAAGAGGCTTGGAAAGGAATAACAACTGAGGGAAAGCAGAAAAGCCCCATGTAATAGGAAGGAAAATGAACCTAGCCTTGAGGGAAGGTGGGAGTTTTTGAGGGGTAGGAGCACATTCGAGGTATGAAGGATCACCTGTGCAAAGGCTCAGAGATGGGGGTGATGTGCTGTGTATGAGAAACAGTAGGCCAGTTGGATTGGAAAGCAGAATTCATGAACTAATGTGAAATAAACTGGAAAAGTAGGCTGGGACACATTATGAAAATCTTCCATTGCCAAACAGAAGAGTTTATATTTCATCCTAGAAGCAATAGATCCATTAGAAGTGAGGGACGTGGTCAGAGCTACCTGGCTAATATTCTTGGTATATAAACATGATCATTAATGAATGCTTAAGGAGTTTGGAGTAGAAAGACCGAGAAGACAGAATGACATTTGTCAGGAGTTTTCTTCCTTAAATGTTTGAGTTATAAAAAGCAGTATGCCAATCTGTACTACTTACATTCCCTTCCTGAAGTTTTACTCTTTCCTAAAGAAAAACTGGGAGCAGACGTTCGCCATGTTGAGAGCACACTTGAAATGCATTTGGCAGTAAGCAAAGGCTAGAGCAGCAGATGATGTCATCTATGCATTGCATCTGTTCCCGAATACCAACGGCAACATTTCTACGAGCCTTTTCCATATTGAAAATTGCAAAGGTTCCCGCTGTGCTGTTCCTTTTGGAAAGTTGGCTGGTATGGAGTGTTTAATTAAGTATTTTCAAACCATCCTTTTGTAGGCCTGTTCCACTTTAGCTAAAGTTATGACAGCTTGTCACTGTTAGTTTAAAAAAAGGATGCATAGTTTATTCTTTTTTTCACAAGCATAAAAGATTAGTATTTTTAAATGAAATAAAATAGCAGATTTCAGAGACGCAGAAAGGGTGAGCTGGAATGTGTGTCCATGTAGAAAGGATCTAAACAAAATGTCTTGTTGGTTTAAAATAATGATCAGGCTGTGAAAATATCATCCATTAGTGTTACAATTATAAATATAATCTCATCTTAATAAAGGTGATTCATTTCTATAACTTTAATACAACTGCAATGCCATCTAACTTTTCCATGCTACAACTATCTTTGCTGTAAGCATGCATTAAAGATACCCACTATTTTGGAGGACTTATCCATCATAAGTTTGGCCAAAGGTAATTTTACTTTTGAAGCCATATAATACATTCAATGGATATCTTTTAAAACAGTGTTTCGCACTGGTTTTCTTTCCTTTCCAGCAGTGGTTTCCAAACACTCTAGTTACTAATTGTTTAGAGAGGTCAAGGAAGAGAAGTCACCCTCGATTTATTTTTATTTCCTCGAAAACCCCACTATCCGATTATAAATGAACAATTATGAGTTTGCTCAAATTTTATTTCAATCACAGAAATATTTCCCCCATAATGTAAATCTTGACTTTGAATTTATTCTTCTTGCAAAAGTATTATTTCAACAATCCTTGACAAAAAGCCAAAGCATATACTTCAATCACCTACATTTCCCCCCTTGACTTTGATGAGAGTTATATGGGCCTTTACAGGTTTCAATACTATTAAAAACAGTTTCACAATTCAATCATCATATCTGAAGGACTAGTCTTGGAACTGACATATGTAAATTAGCTGAAACACCCTAGTGAATCTAGACAATACAGCGTTATAGACAATGCATTATTGAGGATACAGATCTGCGGGGATTCCACTTATGGCCTTTGATAAATGTAATTGTTTTTGCATTCAGCCATGGCAGCTACCTTTGTAACATCACTAATGACAAAATAAATAAAATCCTAGGGCTATTTTCTTCTCTATTTCTTTTCTTCCTGAAAACATTCAGTTGGAAGGAATGCAGTTGAGAGAAGGCCAGTGCACACAGCTGGCTTCAGCAATTTCAACTTTCGCAATACTACAGTCTGAAAAAGCAGCCCAAGAATCTTTGAACAGGATGTAATCAACCTCAGATCTACAGAGAGCCACTTTGAAAATGATTTCAGCTGCCAAAAAAAATAATGTCATTTACAAGCAGCTCTTCCTATGTCCAATTAAGCAACAGCCAAACATGTTAGAGAGGGAAGAAAAGCTTCTGTAGTGAAGGCAGGAGCAATGTGAGAGAGATAGGGACCTGGTGCACCCCACCCAAAAGAAAACAGAAATAATGTGCGGAGAACCCTAATGAAACTATCAAGTCCTTCCAAAAGACCCAATGAATGTAAAGAGATTCATATCAACCGGTTCCAGGCTCCAAATTGTAAGTAATCCAGGACAGAAGAAGATGATTTAGTACCATTTGTTTTCCGTCACTTTGCCTGTCAATCCTAGTTGCTCTTTCTCCACAGCATTATAAAGGATCCCAATCTTTGTCATTTCAAAATACTTACTGGCAGCTTTCCTTGGGGGAGGGTGGGGAGGAAGGAGAGAGGGAAGAATGGAGAATCACAGAAAACGACCATTAAACAAGTTTTAGTAACAAATATGTAAACAATGCATTCACTTACCTCTGTCCTATCTCTGCAGCTCAGCCTTGGGCTAGATGTAAAAAAAAAAAAAGGAGACCCAGTAGAAGAGCTTCTCTAAATTTACCAGCAAGAAGGGACCTGGGATGCTTGTCCTTTAAGTGTCTCTAAACATGGTTTGCATAGCTGGATCTCGGCTTATCTGTACTTTTCTGCTTTCGCTTCCATACATGGGTCTGTTCCCAACAGTAACTCCAAGCTGTCGAAAAGGAGTTATCTGGCAGCCTTTAGCTTCAGCCAGCACATGAATGGTAACATATAGCTGTATAAGCTTATGTGCATATAAATTTACATATATAGCCTGAACATATACATGTACGTATATGTGTTTATGCACACATGCACCTTTTGGCTTAGCCCATTTCTCACCCTGGTATCCTGCCATGCTCACTTTTTTGAATTAACTTGAGATGATGAAGTGGAAACGATACTCAATTTGGATGTAGAGAACCTGAGTTCAAATGCTGACTCTTTGACTTACTAACCTTGAACAAGTCACTTGACCTCTCTGGGACTCAGTTTCTTCATCTGTAAAATGAGGGAGTTGAATTAGATGACCTCAAAGTCCCTTCCACCTTTAAACCTGTGATCTTCTGATAGGACTTCTTTTCACATTTGATGCACAACTTAATTATTCTTGATTTTTCCATGCAGTTGTGGGAAAAATGTTTTTAGAATTACATGGATTTTGAAATGATTTTATTTAATCACTAACACCGTTTCTCACAAAATTTCATGAGGAGAAAGGAAAGAGTAACACTCTCCCCAAATAAAATTAATATGATTTTTATCTGTTTTTATTTGCAATGGTTATAATTGTACAAACTGAACAAATGTTTATTATAAATCAACAAAAATTTATCAATTTCCTACCACATGATAGGCATCATGCTAAGCGCTGAGGTTATGGGGGAGAAAACATGTAGAAAAACAAGTATATACAAAAGATAAAATAAATACAAGATAATTTTTTGAGCTAGAGGTGGTGATCAGGAAATACTTCATATAGAAGATGGTGTTTGACCAGTTTTGAAGGAAACAAGGTATTCTAAGATGAGGAGAGGTGGAAGTTGGAGGTGAGTATATTTAAGAAAGCTGCTGGCACAATGGGATTAGAGTACTGGACCTACAGTCAAGAACACCTAAGATCAAATCTGTACTCAGACTCCTACTAGCTATGTGACCATGGGTGAGTCAAATTGCTGTTTGCCTCAGTTTCCTCAATTGTAAAATGGGGATAATAACATCTACCTGCAAGGGTTGTTATGAGAATTAAATGAGATATTTATAAAAAATGCTTGGCACAGGGTGGCACATATTAGATGTTACATTAAAGTTTATTTCTTCTTCCTCTTCCCCTTAAAATGTTTAAAAGATGGAGAGTCAAATATGAAGAACAGTGAGGAGAGCTTGGGTAGCTAGATGGCACAATGGATGTAGTGCCAGGCCTGAAGTCAGAAAGACTCATTTTCCTGAGTTCAAATCTGGTCTCAGATACTAATAGTTGTGTGACCCTGGGCAAGTCACTTAACTTGGTTTGCCTCAGTTTCCTCATCTGTAAAATAAGCTAGAGAAGGAAATGACAAACCACTCCAGTATCTTTGCCAAGAAAACCCCAAATGGGGTCACAGAGACTTGGACTCTAATGAAACTACGGAACGACAACAAAGGGCCCATTTGTCTGGATTGTAGAGTATGTGGAGCAAAGTGATATGTAAGACGCCTGGAAAGTTAGGAAGAGGCCAGATTGTGAAAAACTTTAAAGGTCAAAGGATTTTATATTTGACTGTAGAGTAAAGGGGGAGCCATTGCAGGAGGGAAGTTTCATGACTTTGTTCTAAGGTTCATTGAATGGAGGTCTGTTGTAAGGTTCAGAGAAAGTTGAGGCAGCAGAGGACTGAGTACCCATTGGACCATAGATTTAGAGCTGGAGAGGACCTTAGAGGCTGTCTCATGCAGCTGCCTCCTTTCACAAACAAGAAAACTGAGGCCTGGAAAAATTAAGCAATTTGCCAAAGGACATATAGGTTGTTAGTGACAGAAGGGGCATCAAAGGTACTCTGCCTCCAAACTAGACGTACTTTTTAATCATACCATATATGGGAAAGCTTCATGTTGTTGTGTTGTTTCAGACTCTTCATGATGCCATTTGGGGTTTTCTTGTCAAGGATACCAGAATGGTTAGCCATTTCCTTCTCCAGCTCATTTTACAGGTGAAGAGACTGAGACAAACAAGGTTAGGTGACTTGTCCAGGGTCACACAGCCAGTAAGTATCTGAGGCTGGATTGGAACTCATGAAGATGAATCTTCCTGATTCCAACCCCGATGCTCTTTTCTCTGTATCACTTAGATGCCCTTGAAAGCTTCATGGAGAAACAAAACCACGATTAGAAGGAAAGCAGAAAGCTGGGAAATAATGTTTACAGCTAGTGTTTCTGATAAAGGTTTCATTTTCAAAATAGATAGAGTTAAATTTATAAGAATACAAGTCATTCCCCAATGGATAAATGGTCAAAGGATGAAAACAGACAGTTTTCAGATGACAAAATTAAAACAATCTATAGTCATAAGAAAGAATGCTCTAAATTGCTACTGATTAGAGAAATACAAATTAAAATAACTCAGAGGTACCACATCACACATATCAGATTGTCTAATATGACAGAAAAGGAAAATGGTAAATGTTGTAGAAGATGTAGGACAATTGGAACACTAAAGCAAAGGAAGAGAAAGGGGAAGGAGAGAAATTTGGAACTCAAAATCTTATAAAAAGGAATGTTGAAAACTATCTTTATATGCAGTTGGGAAAAAAAACACTATGCTATATGGATTAAAAAAAAAAGCTTCATGGAGAAGCTAAAATAAGGACCCTATCTGGAACCTGAAGAATGATTGCTATTTTTTTTAGTGGAGCGAATAATGGGAAGAGGAATAATTAGCAAAATGTTTTGAAAATAGCCCTATACTGAAAGTCAGGAGGTCTACTATTTAATTTCAGTTTTGTTTTTTTTGCTGTCTGTGTGATCTTGGATAAGTCCACCTCTCTAGGCTTCAATTTTCTCACCTATAACATGACAGTGCTAGACCAAGTAATCTCTGAGATTCCTTTCAGCTTTTTAATTATAGCAACCTATGAATGGAGTTAATATGAATTTTTCCCTGAATTACAGAAGGTTCCTCACTTACAAAAACCCAATTACTTTCACCTTTTTCATTCCAAATTCACTGAGTTCATCTAGGAAGAATCAATTGCTATAGGACTCTTTCCTTTATTGATAATGCATGGGTGTTGTTTTTTACCTCCTTTCAAGGCTGTTTCCTGTTACAACACTCCTAACAACACTCTGATACCCCCTCACCCCTATGCTCTGAATTCTCATTTGAACTGAGTTTTAGTCTACTATGCAGAAGGAGTAAGAGTAGGAAAGCTTTTAAACTCTTGCCTGTTTTTCTTACCACTAGCAGTATACACCCTTGGGGAACAACTCTCCAAGGCTCTGTGTATGTTTGCAGCCTTATTCTCTTCCGGAGAGTTTCTGAGAAGAGGAGAAATCTCAGACATAAACAATGGGTGATGGTAATGGGAAAATGAGTTAATCTCTGGAGTCTCAAGAAGAATAGGACAGTGACCAGGTTAAGAGCCAAGGGGACTGGGGAAGCTAGATGGCGCAGTGAATAGAGCACCAACCCTGAAGTCAGGAGGACCTGAATTCAAATCCAGCCTCAGACCAAACACTTGATACTTACTAGCTGTGTGACCCTGGGCAAATCACTTAACCCCAATTGCCCCCCCCAAAAGAACCAAGGGGACCAAGAAAACAGAAAGGGACCAAGACTATAAAAGAGTATCCTAATATAAAGCTCTGGCTCCCCAATCCCTCCTTCTACAACTTTACTTGTGAACCTTCACCTTCTGTCTTGAGTCCTGTTGAAGCCTCTATCTTAAACCCCTATCTAGTTTTGTTTTGTTTTGAGTTGAGATTAATAACTGTTGTTCCAGTGCAGGTGGGCTGATTTGTCCCTGGCTTTTTGAATTGTAATCCTGAATGCCATTCCCCAGAGAGACATTATTACACATGGTTGTAGACTAATATTAGTACGGTTTATCATGAAGTAGATAAGGATTTGGGGGCTTGGCCTGCTAACCTAAAAATAGGATCATATGATTTAGGGGTAGATGGCCCCTCAGAATTTAATCAATCTTACTTTACAGATGAGGAAACTGAGATTCTGATAGCTAAGGTCATACAGATAATAAATGTTAGGGGCTTGTATAACATTTTTCCCTCTTGTAAATGGGAAAATATATTCCACCTCAAAAACCAAAATTTGGAACACAGCCTCTTGGTTGGTTGGCATCTGCCTATAGCTATAGTTGGCAAGGGCTAAAGATTGTAGTTTGCATGAATTAAAGATAGGATCTCATGGGGGAAATGAGGTCAGGTACTTAGCAGGGATCTGGCAAGGAGTCCTCAGCAGCTCGTGGACTGGATGCTTTGGAATATGAGGCAACCTAGCGGCACTTTTGAAAGAACCCTAGACTTGGAGTCAGTAAGACCTAAGTTCAAATCCTTTTTCAGATACTTAGCTGTGTGACTCTGGACAATTTCTTAATTTCCTCATCTGTAAAATTGAACCTACATCACAGTGTTGTTTTTGAGGGTCGAAGAGATAATACATGTAAAGTTTTTGAAAATTTAAGTGCTATATAAAAAGTTGACAGTTATGATTAAC